TGCTCGGTTAAGAGAGTGCATCGAGCACTGCTTCCAATTTATGGCAATTTGGTCGGCCTACTGAGGGAGCTATTCGGAAGCTTGTGACTAAATTTCGAACCCAGTTTACATTATTGGACATTAAACCACCAACACGCAGACGTAGAGTGAGGACTGAAGAAAATATTGCGGCTGTATCCGCCAGTGTTAGTGATGACCGTGGAATGTCGATTCGCCGCCGTTCGCAGCAATTGGGCCTCTGTTACTCTCCACTACGTGGAAAATTTGCGACAGGATTTGGGTGTAAAACCTCATAAGATACAGCTGGTGCAAGAATTGAAGCCACACGACCTCCCACAACTTTTCCAATTTGGTGAATGGGCGCTGGCAAAGTTGGAGGAAGATCCACATTTTTATCGAAAAATTGTGTTCAGCGACGAAGCTCATTTCTAGTTGAATGGGTACGTTAACAAGCAAAATTGCCGCATCTGGAGTAAAGACCAGCCAAAAACATTGCAAGAGCTACCAATGCATCCCGAAAAAATCACTGTTTGGTGTGGATTATGGGCCGGTGGCATCATCGGGCCGTACTTCTTCAAAGACGACAATGGCCGGAACGTAACTGTGAATGGCGAGCGCTACCGTGCGATGATAACAAACTTTTTTTTGCCCAAAATGGAAGAGCTGGACTTGGCTGATATGTGGTTTCAATAAGACGGTGCCACATGCCACACCGCACACGAAACAATGGCCCTATTGAGAGGCGACTTCGGTGAACAGTTTATCTCGCGTTTGGGACCCTTCAATTGGCCGCCTAGATCGTGTGATTTAACGCCGTTGGACTATTTCTTGTGGGGCCATGTTAAGGCTAATGTCTACAGGGATAAACCATCAACGATTGACGCACTGGAAGCCAATATTGAAGCATTTATTCGTGAGATACCGGCCGATATGTTGGAGAGAGTGTGCCAAAATTGGACCTTGCGCATGGGTCATCTAAAGCGGAGCCGCGGCCAGCATTTACATGAAATAATCTATAACATTAAATTATATCGACCGTTCTATCGACTCAAATAAAGATTGAAGCGTTTTTTTCAAATTTTTTGTGTTTTTTTTTGAAAATCAAATCCTATACCTCTTAAAAAATCACCCGTTACATAGTCATTGTCCCAACAACTAGCTAAGCGGAAGGACTCGTCTTTGGGGAAATCGACAAAATATGCAAAGTGTACAAGGTACAAGGCTTACTGTTTTAAAAGTATGCTGAAACGCATTTTTTCAGGAACAGAGATATCGATGGCCAATAAATTCAGTGAGTGGTTGTGTCAAAGCGCGGCCTGCTTGACAAGTCCGACTCATTCACCTGCTGCACCAGCTGATTATCAAACAATTGAACGCTAACAATGCGACGCGATGATCGTAAATTGGTGCTGGATATACAACAGTCAACAAAAGTGTATGCCTGCGCAACGCCCCAACTAAAAAATAGAGTGGATGCAAAAAAGTCTTTATACTCTTAAATTGAAGAATTGGACAGGGTTGTAGTCAGAACCGCCATGCCATAATCACATGGCTGAATGAGAATGATATTTTATCGATGGCTAATCAAGGGGAACGTTTCCGTATTTACGATTGCCTTTTTGGTTTTACAAGAAAAATGCAGCTAATATGTTTAGTACAAAAAGATTTTTATTTTTCACGTGATCATGTTTTGCTCTTGAATTTTGATATTGTTTAGAGGTATACAGGGTGGCCCGTTTTGGGAACATGACATTTGAGGGCACATTTAGAAAATATTGGCCATTATACAGGGTGCCCAGGCAATATAAATATTTGTGAAGAAAAAAGGCGAGAACTTTTCACTATGATTTACCGTCATATGATCATCATACTGCTTTTTTATCATCATGTATAAAAAACAACGTAATAGGAAAAAGATTGATAGCAGCATCGAACGAAAATTTAGCACAAATATATTTTACTTGAAAAAACATTTAATATCTCTACTAAAGATTCACATCTGTAAGTGCTAAAACAAATCACCTTGGCATAGCTGAGCCAGACCAAAGAGAAAAAGGACAAACTCACAGGGAGATGGGAAATGAGAAACGAAGTTTTGCAATAAGTCACATTAAAAGGTTTCCTAGATACACAAGCCATTATTCTAGAAAAGCAAATTCTCAGATGAAATACTTGTCATCAGATTTGGATATTAAAATTATGTATGAGTTATACAAAACCATTTGCAAAGGCGTATAAGAAAATATTCGAATGACGATTCTAAAGTCTCACACAGTAAGGTTCAGTTAGCTCTTCATCAGAAACGTGCCGAAAATGCCATAAACCTCAAGAAAAGCGACATCGATAAATACAAACTTTCAGCAGATTTTTCAGCCTTATCAGTTGGACATTCCGGTTTTTATACTGCTTTTTTTAATTCACTAACGCTCTAAAAATGAATATTTCAGCCGCAGTAAAGAATCAACGTTGGCGGATTTTGGTTCTTGACATCCTTTACGATCGGTTACGATGCCTAGAGTACGGAGACCTGTACGATTTCGTCAACTTAGTGAGTTTGATAGGGGCCGTATAGTGGGACTTCGGGAAGCTGGACTTTCTTTTCGGGCAATTGCAGTTAGAGTGCAAAGAAGTGTAGACACTGCGGTTAGGTGTTGTCAGGCATGGCTTCGAGAAGGCCGTACGCAAAGAACAAGGGGCACTGGACGCCGCCGTAGAACAACAGACCGTGAAGATCGCCGCCTAAGATTATTGGCCTTAAGGGACCGTTTCTCCACTACCAGGTCCATTGCAAATGAATGGTTTGCAGAACACGGAAGACCTATTGGCATGCGAAGTGTTTACCGACGAATGAGAAGTTTTGACTTGTATTCATACCGGCCACACTGGGTCCTCCCTTTAACTCGAGAACACCGACGTAATCGCCTTGAGTGGTGCAGACAACGGTCACTCTGGGATCAGGCATGGAACAGTATTGTCTTTAGTGACGAGTCTCGATTTTGTTTAGGCATGCACGATGGTCGTGCCAGGGTTAGAAGGCGACGTGGTGAAAGGAGGAATCCACAGTTTTTTGTTGAAAGACATGTTCATCACACTGTTGGAGTTATGGTTTGGGGTGCTATAGCTTATGGTATCTTCATCAGAGGTAACATGAACGCGCAGCGTTATATCCACGAAGTTCTAGAACCCCATCTTTTACCCTATCTTGACACCCTGGCAGATCCAACTTTCCACGTAAACTCAAGCAAACCAATATCAGAGGTGCTGCATCTACATCAAAGCAGGTTACAGCTGGTGCTTCTAATAATACCATTGATTCTGAAAGTGAGATGGATATGGATTTACTTGACTCTGATTCAGACAATAGTGCTTAATGTTTGTAACAGTATTTAATCTGAATAAAAATGTTATTTTAAGTGTTTTGTTTTTCATTTTAATCAAATTGAACAAATGTTTGGGAAAAAAGGATATAAGTGCTTCTTTTGCAAAAAAAAAAAATTATTTTCCAAAACTCATTTTCAACTAAATTTTCATTTATTCCTTGTAATAAAAGCAATCAAACATGTCAGTTAAACATTTCCGGGATTCTTTTAGAGTCAATCGACTTTAAGCTAGATTATCTCAAAACAGTGTTTATGTTACCATACTTGCTCGCCAGTAGACGTGGGAAATAATAGTTGCTCTTATCGGTATCTGTCCAAGGTTAGATACTATTAAGCCTCCTGGGCAGATATTACCGTTGCAATCACTACGAGTATTACTAATTTTGGTCAACATGAACTATTTATAACTAATACATTCAAACTAATTACCAGACAGGATCTCACGTTCGGCATTTTAGTTATTGACAATCGTTAGATGTAGATATCGAGTCCGCATTAACTTTTACCGATCGCTATAAGTGTCGAAAAGCCTTGAACCAGTGAGAGGATGGATAATTTTCAAGCAATACAGAACTAATTTATTATACTCTCATTAAAATCATCTAGTGCTTTTGCACGCGTCTACATATGATTGTTTTTAATTTAAATATGTATGTACATTTGCAAATTAACAATTGACGGTGTAGTAATTCTGACAATGAGCGAGGCTGATCATAAAAGCCATTGTTTTATGGAAAAACTGCTTCCGACGCGTGCGAAACATTGATCGTAGAGCCAATGACGTAAGACGTCGATATGACATGTCTCCGATATCTTCCTTTCTCAGGGATCGACAGCAATTTGCTTCCTTAAGGCGGCTCCGTCGCAGTGAGTTTCAAGCCATTTACAAGGGTTCAGCTGCTTCAAAACTGACACTCCATTTTTCAATGTTTTTGAATGAAATTCATACAGTATTTTGAGAAGATAATTGCCCAGGGTGCTATAGGAGCACTTTTTGAAATTTTGTTTTTGCGCAAGTTTTATGATGGGTTGAAAGTGCGCACTTTTTCTGTTCAACTTCGCGATTTTTTTAAAAAGAATCTAGTTAAAAAATGAAAAAGTGGCTCTATAGCACCCTGTGGAGTTTTGTTTTCAGCACACTGTGAAAATTTCATCCAAAAATATCAAAAAATAACGCGTCAATTTCGAAGCGCGCAAACCTCTACAAATTGTATTTTGGACGAATTTTGTCTACTGTTTCGTGCTGCCAACCCAAGCGCAATGTTATTTTTATGCTGCAAATCTGATTAGGGAACGATAAAGTTGGTGTTTTCTACTATATATGATCAAAATATTCATTGTTAATATTTTAAACCTATAAAACCCTGCTACATTTTTATTATTTGTGTTTGATAAGAAAGGGGCTCGTAGTCTTGTAAAACACATAATACTTCATTTTCAAAATGTTTCGCGATTACAATACTTCCTCCCCTGTAGGCGTGGAAATTAAAACAAAAATGAGATCAGATTTGTTTTCGCGTAACTCAAGAATGGATTTACGATTTATATTCATGAATGGAAAATTTACTCGGTACATATAATAATGGGAACCCTTAGTAACGTTATTTAACAAAAGCTTTTCTACGTGTTACCATTGATTCTAGAAAAGTAAACAATAAACAAACATAATAGGCAATAATTAGCGTATATATAATTGCATATTTTATTGTTATGAATAATAAAATTGAAGCGAATACCGCGAAATAACAAAGATTTTTTGAAATGTTTACAGCGCAGTAATGCATACTATCCGATTACTAATACTGAGACATGTTCGTCATACTAGCGAAGGATACAATGTTTATGATATGAAAGGTTTGTTGAAATTTTTACAATTACTGTCACCGACATATCAAGCCCTAGGTCACGGATTGACGCTTCGGTCAAGCAACGATAGTAATTGTTATAGTTATTTAACGGGGCTCCTACAATAACGAGCACCATCTGCTGAGGTAACGGGGGGTTGAAAAGGAAACGAGGGTGGGCTGGCCTTAGACTGTCGTCGGCGCTACTTTAAAAGAGGAAAGGATGACTGCCGGTGCATACCGAGGTAAATTTTTATAATAACAGAGTCGGATTTCGATTAGCGATCTAGAATGTAAATCGTTTCTTATTTTGGTACTCAGCAAGTGATCATTTAGTATTGTTCCCTGTACCCAGCGGCCTGTATATGTGGTCTAAATACATTTGCGTTCTAAGCTTAGTCCAACCTCGCTTATCGCTAAGATGGAACAAAGACTCAAACGCAAGAATCTTGAAAAGAAACTCAGACCAAAAAAAGCAGATATAAAAATAACTAACAATTTGGATAGCAATTCCAAAGGAAATGAATAGTTTTATGGCGAATTCAATCGAAAACGTGACATTAACTACATTGATTTGGAGGTTGCTAAGCGAAAATTTTTAGGGAAACTTAAAAAAAGTGACGACGAACCCTTGTAAATGGCTTGAAACTCACTGCGTCGAAGCCGCCTTAAGCGTTGACTGCTTCATTTTTTCGAAGGCGTCTACGCATGACAGGACGAACAGAGATAAGACCACTACGATAAGCGTTTTGTGCATTAGTGTATCCTAGTTCATTAAACTCACGAAGAAGTCTACAACGTTCAGGTTCAGGAACAGTAGTAAAACAGCGAAAACGTTCACAAAACAATCAGAACCAAGTTCGTGGGTAGTGGCGCGCGACGTTTTCATTGTGTCTCTTTGTCTTCCTGTTCTTTACGTTTTTTCGTTTCTCTGTTCGATGGGCCTGGTTCATTTTCACTTGAAACTGAATAGTCACTATCCATTATACACAAAACCAGTATTTATAAACTAAATTAGTGAATACAGTCAATATTTAAAATATCACCGTATACAACACACGTGGACTCTAATAGTAAACGAATGGCTGATTCAATAACGAAGCGCCGCCTTTCCATATGGACTCATGCCATTCTTCCCCGGCACAGGGGATCTTATAGCTGTTGTTTCGTGAACCTAAGCCCTTGTTACAATTTAAGAAGCTGATTTTTTTTTTATAATAATAATATTTATTTACTCAATGTACAAAGATAACAAACAATATGAGTAAATAAATATAAAATCAAAACAGGCCCAATAGAAGGCATCGCCTGTACATGGACCAATAATTTAAGTTGAAACTGTAGAATGCAAATGACAAAAAAGGACAAAAATTAGCTACAGTAGATTATGTATTTTGTTGATGTTCGTATTTATGAGTTTATGAATTTCAGTCCTAGCTATAGAATGTAGCCACTTTTTTAAATTTCTTTTGAAACAATTTCCGAAACGTAAATCTTTTAAGTCTTTAGGTATAATTTCATAAAATTTAGGCGCTAAATAGAGATATGATCGCTGCATTATAGATTTATGCGGTTGAGGAACTACTGTGCCACGAATTTTGTACCTGGTATAATGATTATGTTTAATTTTTTGGTCGGTGTTTACAAATTTATGGTAGTGAGTGATACTGTGTAAGAAATAAAGCTGTCTTATATCATACATTCGAACATCTGCATATAATTTTTCAGTGGGATAAAGTTTCGGTTTTTTAAATATCATTTTTAGAGTACTTTTTTGAAAAACATCTAAATTATAGATATGTGAGGAACATGCAGCTCCCCATGCTAATATACCATATGTGAGATGAGGCTCAATCAGTGCATGGTATAATGTTTGAAGATATATTTCTGTCAATATATTCCCAAGGTATTTAATTTTCTAACTTTCTTTAAATATAATTGACATGGATGTCCCATCGTAAGTGAGGATCCAAGACCACTCCAAGGTATTTTATGTTGAGCACTCTATTAATTTGCATTTTTTGATCATTAATATTGAAGGAGAAATTTGTGTAATTTGGCAGATGTCTAGCATAAGATCCAAATGGTAAAAAATGTGTTTTAGAGTAGTTAATGCTTAATTTTCTACTGTTAAACCACCGAATAATTTTGATAAAATCATTTTCAATTACATTTTCAGATCAGACCAGTCAGTGCCTTCATATAATATTGCAGTATCATCTGCAAAACTAGTTATTTTGCCAACACAATTAATTTGAAAAATATCATTTAAATATATATTGAATAACAGCGGACCTAAGACAGTTCCTTGTGGGACACCACACTTAATATACATTTCTTTACTAAATGATCCTGATATCTGCACAGATTGTGGGCGATTTGACAAATAACTTTCGATCAGTGAGTACGCGTTTCTCTGAAACCAATTCTCTCCAATGCTTCTAATAATAATTTGTGATTACCTGTGTCGAAAGCTTTCTTTAAATCAACAAAAATGCAGATTGAAGGGATTCTGTTATCAATATTTTGATGTATTTGATTTACAATTTTAGTTATTGCGTCCGATGTAGCCTTCCCTTTTGTAAATCCATATTGATTTTCACTTAAAATTTTGAATTTTGTGAGGTATCGAATCATTCTAGTAGATAAAACTTTTTCAAAAACCTTTGCTACACTGGATATTATTGATATTGGTCTATAGTTGTTAACATCTGTTTTTGTTCCTGATTTATGTATCGGTATTATATTACCTTTTTTTAAAATTGAGGGATATATGCCAGATTCAAAGCATTTGTTGATTAGGTAAGTGAGTGGTTCTGTTATGTCCTCGGCTATAATTTTCAAATGCTCGCTTTTAATACCATCGAACCCAGGACTTTTCCGATTTTTAAGGACATAACATACTTCACATTGTTCGACTTTATCCAAAATAAATGAGTTCAAAGTTCTTTTTGGAGGCTGAGTATTTTGTACATTTGCTTGTATATTACTTGCTAAATTTTCGCCTATGTCAGTAAAGAATTGTACAAATTCATCGCATATCTGTTGAGTATTTTTTAATACTGTTCCCGATGTTGTATTTAACTCAGTGACACACTCTTTAAATTTTGTTTTCCCAGTAATCTCATCAATAGTTGTCCAAAGCCGCTTAGGATCATTTAAGTTATTATTCAATTTATTTAGGTAATGTTTTCGTTTGGTTTGCCTTGCAAGCTCTATAAATTTATTTTTATATTGGTTGTAACAGTCGGTATTCTCTGTAGTTGGCGTTAGTTTCATTACATTATATAGTCTTTCTTTTTCTATTGCCGATGTTATTAATCCTTTGGTAATCCAGGCATTTCTGCTTTTCTCTTTGTGACTAATTATTACTTTATTGGTACTAATATCTATTAGTTTTTTTATTTTCTCTATGAACAGTCCCGTTGCTTTGTCTATATTATTTATAGAGTATAATTGTTCCAGGATTCTTGTTTGACATTTGATATTAGTTTTGAATTGTCGACAAAAAATTTGTAATTTTCCTGGTTGTTATTAACGGTAGGAATGTTAGAATGTTTTTCATTTGAAGATATCAGTAAAATAGTGGAGAAGTGGTCAGTAATATCGCTTTCTAGGATTATTGGTATACAAGTAATTTTGTTGGATAGGTCTTTCACAAAGCAGTGATCTATACATGTGCCACTGATGGACATTGTAGGTAGGTTTATATAGGACAGAAATCCGTTACTTGATAGGATATTCAAGTATTCATTTGTGATGGGATCATTGTCCAAAATATTTATATTATTACAAGATAGCATCAGAAAAATGCCACCAAAATAAACTGAAAGCTCAATTTAGCCAAATAATGAACTAATGCCGTTTTTCTCCGGTACCCTTCAGATGTTTTTAGATGTTATGTGGCATGTGTCATCACGATAAGCCATGCATTAAAACTCAGAAAGATAGAGGAATGTTTTCGATATGCGTCTGACTAAATATCGGTAAGAATACCTATTGTATGCGCCTATTTGACTGACTTGATCCGTTTAATTTCTCTACTGTACATATCCGTAACCAATTTTCAACTTGTGCCGAGTCCAATCCTTTATGAATTGATGACGGCGTTGATAAACGTGTGTTAGATATGGATAAAAGATTTACTGTCAGTGCCTTTAAGGCCTTACCTGATATATCTTAGAAGCACGATGAATCCGGGGTTCACCCTCCTTTTCTCGAACTGATTCAACAGAACGTACACCACCAGAAGTCCGCTCAACAGGAAGAACGAATCGACGAACAAGTCGCCGTGGAAAAGTACGCAGGCCACCGATGATCTGTATTGCTGCAAAAATAGACGCGAACGGTCATTTTGCGAACAAAAAAATCTCGTTTCGCTATTATCTAATTTGTATGAGTAATTGTTTTAATATGCTATGAATCCCATTGACTAATTTCGGCATGATAAAAAATGATCGTTAATCAAATAACGAACCCTAAAAAATATATAATTGTTTTTTTGTGACAATTATACAGGGTGTCCCGAAAAAGTGTGCAATAGTGTATCAGCGGTTCTAGAGCTTACAATAGGAAGAAAAATTTATATAAACATAGGTCGACAAACGTCCCCTAAGGGCGCTACGGTCTTTTAAATTTGCTACCCTGAAGATGGTTTTTCCAGCATAAAAAACTAGGCTAGAATACCAAATTTTATGTCTTTATCTCAACACGCTTCGGAAATATTAAGGAAAAACCATCTTCAGGGTAGCCCCTTTAAAAGACCGTAGCGCCCTTAGGGGACGTTTGTCGACCTATGTTTATATAAACATTTCTTCCTATTTTAAGCTCTAGAAATCGCTGGTAGAATAATGCACACTTTTTTCGGGATACCCTGTATAAACCAATGATCTCCAGGATTCTAAGAGGAGGTTTTAGCCATTTATCTAACGAGGTATATCGAACACGACAGTGGAAGAAGCCCCTGTTTATGGTAGTTTGAGAGGTCGAGCCGAAAGTCATTTATTGCGGGAAGTTAAAAATTCGATAATTTGAGTTATAAAAATTTCAAATATCCCTTTTAACAGTCCAAAGATCGAAAAGATGCATAGAAAAAATTCCAAAATCAAGATTGAGAATATCGATGTCTAAATTCATTATAATATTTGGCAGCGTTATACTTTGAAGTTGAGTCATTAATTTTCAGATAATGATTGTAGAAGGAAGATAAACCAAAATATGTGTGTAAAAATAAAAAAAAATTGAAAAAAAAATGTTACCTTGTTTTATAAAGTATCCTCCCGACAAGTATTTCAGTGCGGACCTGTATTTGATCGTGAGGTCTTGGAGCACCGGCATGCCGTCCCCTGTGAGGTCTTAAGTCACCTGATTCACGAGCCCGTTGTACTACATTAACAAAGGCACGAGGGGTTGGTTGCACTCGATTGGGAAACCGATCCGCATAAACATGTGCCATTTTTTATTTCGTTTGAGCCACGCAACGGACACCACTATCCACTCACGCGTTACCGACTGACACTGACTGTATACAACTGAATAAAATAATTGTAAAAACATCGTTCCAAATTTTTTCGCTTTTTTGTTTCCGATGCGGATGAACCGATAAGGCGGATTATATCCGTTGTTGCCGAACACGAGCACATATTATTATTATTGAGACAGGGCGGGTACTCAAACTTCCAAAGGGCTATAACTTTGTTAATTTAATTTTACCAGAGAAAATGGAAGGAAAAACACCTTTCTTTTGATCAAGATCTACTCACTGTTAAAATAAATGACTCAACTTCGAAGTCAACCCTGTATAAGTAGCGCTAAAATATGGCTGTGCGGTGCCTTGGTATGGATAATGTTCTCGTATACCGTAAATTCAACGAACGTTCCATAAACGTAGTGGTGAATGAGTAGTTATAATAAATTTAGCAAACGACAAAAAATAAATATTCGAACAGGTTATACAAGGTGTTTCAGTTTATTGTTGCATACTTTAAGATCCGATAGAACTTTTAAAATTAATGCATAAGTCTATATAAATAGGGTCGAAAAATGCGTGGCTTCCGAAATACAGGGTGTTTAAATTTACTTTCTAAAATAGTTTTTTTAAATATTTCGAACAATATTGATGTATAACAGTAAAATTGGTATACAACGGTTTTTTTTGGTACGACAAAACGAACCATGGGCATAGTTTTACTATAACCGCTAGAGGGCGCTCTCTACTGTACCTGTAATGTATTAAAATGACCGAAAAAAATTTCTTAGTGCAATTTTTGCTTTTTGAATAAAAAAACTGTTTCTTCGCACTTTTCAACCTAAAAAAGCTCCCTTGTGAATTTTCGTTATAGTTAGCCGTTTTTGAGATATTTCGATTTTGAAGGTTCGATGCATTTTTTTTTTATGATAAAATAACGTTAAAAAGTCAGTGTCTCGATAATTTTTAGAAGTAGGCTGTGCCTGCAAATATTTTTGAAATTGAAAGCAGAATAAGGTTAAACGTCAATTAGTTGACAGTTAGTTTTGTTGTCTGTTGAAACCTGAAACGTTTTTTTGCAATTGTGAATTCACGAAATTTAGTTTCTTTTACCTGTTTTTTTTTGTAAGTTTTATAAAAATGCCATTTTTATTCTCCAATCAAGAGTTAGCGGATATTCATTTTGTGTATGGCTTTGTAAATGGAAACGCAGCAGAAGCAGCTAGAGAATACGCACGAAGATTTCCAAACAGACGACATCCAACTCGCTCAGTATTTGTAAGACTGCATCGCCAAATAATTGAAAATGGTTTTGGAAATCTCCAAAGGGATCAAAACATAAATGTTCGTCAGCGCAGATTTACCCGTATGATTCTGCGTGAGTTTGATAGAGATCCGACCACAAGTGTTAGGAGAGTTTCTGGTGCCTTGGGACTTTCAGCAAGCCATGTTCACCGTGTTCTTAGAAATGACCATAGACGTCCTTACCATTTGCAACCTGTGCAAAGACTACAGCCAGGGGACGGAGAACGAAGAATCACATTTTCAGTGGATTCTTGATAGAACTGATAATAATAGGGAGTTTTTAAGTAACGTTTTATGGACCGATGAGTCATGCTTCACTAGACGTGGAGTGGTAAATTTTCATAATCAACATATTTGGTCGCATGAAAATCCGCATGCAGTTCGGGAAAGAAATTTTCAGCATGAATTTAGTGTGAACATGTGGATTGGTATCTACCGTAATCGTAAAGGCTGAACATGCAAATATGTGGGATGATGTTATGTTAGATTTAAGAAGATTGGCCTGATTCCAGCTTGATGGTTGTCCAGCTCATTATTCGAGAATAGTTAGAAACTGGCGAGACGAAAATTATCCAGAAAGATGGATCGGCCGTGGAGGACCAGTCGCCTGGCCTCCACGATCCCCTGACCTAAATCCATTAGATTTCTTTGTGCGGGGATTTCTAAAAGAAAAAGTGTACCAGACTCCCGTAACCACAAGAGATATGCTAATAGACAGAATCAGGAATGCATGTGATGAAATAATGCCTTATTTGATTAATGCTATACCACGTTCGATCATTCGTAGATGTGAATTGTGTATTGAACAATTGGGTTTACATTTCGAGCAACTACTTTAGATTGTGTATGTAAGTCCTAACTATCCAATAGCATTTTAGTTGTAAATAATTAATTTAATTTGTTAAAATAATATTGGAAAATTAAACAAATTAATATTCTGCTTTTTGTGTTTATTTGGAGTTAGGAATTATTGCTGTGTTTAAAAACACAATCTAAACGATCATCTTAGTTACTTGTAATGCCCAAATCGAAAAAGTAAAAAAAATATTATTTTCCCATAAATAATTAAAAATGCATCGAACCTTAAAAATCGAAATATCTCAAAAACGGCTAACTATAACGAAAACTCATAGGAGAGCTTTTTTATGTTGAAAAGTGCGAGGAATCAGTTTTTTTATTCAAAAAGCAAAAAATTGCACTAAGAAAAAATGTTCGGTCATTTTAATACACTACAGGTACAGTAGAGAGCGCCCTCTAGCGGCTACAGTTAACTATGCCCATGTTTCGTTTTGTCGTACCAAAAAACCCTTGTATACCGATTTTCACTGTTATATATCAAATATTGTTCGAAATATTTAAAAAAAACTATTTTAGAAAGTAAATTTAAACACCCTGTATTTCGGAAGCCACGCATTTTCGACCCATGTTTTATGCATTAATTTTAAAAGTTTACGAATCTCTTAAAGTTATGCAACAACAAACTGAAACACCCTGAATAAATATGCCAACGAAAACTCACCGATTCTAAATAGTCGAAGTTCAGAATAGCGGCAGAGATGAAAGTTCCAAATCTGTGATCCATGATGATGGCCAGAATACATATCGTCCTCATCCCATACAATATTCCCAGAGCTGGATTGGAGTCCTCGGTCTTGTTCAGTTCGTGGAAGTTCTCTCTGCTGAAAACGCCATTAGCAATTTGGTAGGTCTAGACCCTGTAAAAAAATCTCGACTTGTACGGATGCACAAAACGAAAGCGTATACAGAGCGTTATACAAATCGGCTGGATGGATCTCCGAGTCCTCGTGACTTTTTTCTCTTTCCGAAGTTGAAAAGTCACCCAGCGAACTCATTTTGGGACAGCCGAAAACACTCAAACGTAGCTCCAGCACTGCTATGAGCAGTGAGTAATTAAATTTGAACAAAAAAATGAAAAGGTCTGTCTCGTTACTTAATTTACAAACCTCGTAGGGAAATAACTATTTCCATTCATTTGATGCAGCTCCGAAAAGCTGTTTTAGTACTTTGTTCGTACGCGTAAATAGATTTGTTAGGAGATAGAGTCACTGACTCATCTTTTGTCGTAAGTATCAGCAGAAACGAATACTCACATACTCACTTTTTAAAGGCTTCTCGTCTTTGGTCTGGTAGCTGCTTATGTAGTCGTAAGCTGTCGCCAAGAAGACCATAAAGATCAGTATCACAGTAAGGAGGCTGAAAAAAGAATTAAATATACGAGGGATGTCTTTTAAGTTTGCATATGGAAATAAAACAACCCGGCAGGTAGTTTTAAATCAATGCCTAGGCGCGTTGGAGAATGCGTAGCACATCACGTGCATCCACAATTTATTAAAGGTCAAAGGGCTTTAAAGCAGTGCAATCATTTTGAAATTTTTATCATTAACTTATTATGCTTCATTAATACAAAATTTTATTAAAATAAAACCATTTAAACTGGGTGTTCGGATTATATGTCACTTAGTATACATGGATGTGAGGAAAGTTTCTTATAAGAGACGATTATATGAAATTGAATGCCTTATCTAAACATGCAGAAAAAACAGCGTGGAAAATATTCGAAAAATCTAAAAACCGTTGTATAACGTGTTTCCGACTTACCAAAAGGAGATATCAGCATTATCAAAGTACTGGGATTCCGCTTGGTATTACAAAGCTCCTCGTGAAACTGTGCTGTGTACGTGACGTTCTGTCTTTTCAAACTGTTATCTACTCTATTCAAATACTGGTTCAGATACTCCTCCAAGTCCAAGAAGAACACGAGGAAGGAATACACCAGCCCATCTTGATTGAGTTTCTAGCTTGTTGCGAGACATCGTCGTATTTCTGGAATTAAATATGAAATAAGAATGATATTCGGTATAGGGAAACGTTTACGTACAATTCTGCTCGTAATTAATGATGAAAAAATGGAATCATTCAAATATCTGGGTATGTGGATAGTAAGCTTTAGTTACAAAGATTATGAGTACATTATTCCAAATATACCAAAAAAGATAAATTACTTCTATAGAGTTTCCAATAATTCCAGTATGTATTCCAAAAACATGTATAACAAACACTATAACTCTTCCTCATTTCTTATATTGTGCAACTATCTTGCTTACAGCAAATGAAAACATATTTCAGAATTATAAATTAATGAGGATCACTTTAAATAAAAACAAATCAATATACTAAGATTAAGTCTATGTTAGAATGACTTAAATGGTTGAATGTAAAAAATTGTAGATGTTATTGATTCTCATTTTCATATTCAAATTAAAACATTATTTATTACCACCACATCTAGAAAAATTCACAAAATTTAATAGTATTATCATAACTACGCAGCCCGAGAGAGAATAACAAGTACATATTCCAAAAGGGATCATCTGAATTTAACAACCTGAACAATTAAAATTAAAACGTTCGATGTGAAATTCAAAAATCACTTTATGAATACTCAAAATGCATAATGATGTAATTTCAACAGAGAAGAATGTAAAGCAACACAAAATTGACTTAAAAAATGTGTAAACGAATAATTGACATTGTATCATTAGTGCTAATATACTAAGTGACATATAAATCCGAACACCCAGTTTAAATGGTTTTATTTTAATAAAAGTTGGTGAATGTATTTATCTTACTGTAAATAACAAGTGAAAAAATTTTCAGCCTTATCAGTTGGACATTCCGGTTTTTATACTGCTTTTTTTTAATTCACTAACGCTCTAAAAATGAATATTTCAGCCGCAGTAAAGAATCAACGTTGGCGGATTTTGGTTCTTGACATCCTTTACGATCGGTTACGATGCCTAGAGTACGGAGACCTGTACCATTTCGTCAACTTAGTGAGTTTGATAGGGGCCGTATAGTGGGACTTCGGGAAGCTGGACTTTCTTTTCGGGCAATTGCAGTAGAGTGCAAAGACGTGTAGACACTGTGGTTAGGTGTTGTCAGGCATGGCTTCGAGAAGGCCGTACGCAAAGAGCAAGGGGCACTGGACGCCGCCGTAGAACAACAGACCGTGAAGATCGCCGCCTAAGATTATTGGCCTTAAGGGACCGTTTCTCCACTACCAGGTCCATTGCAAATGAATGGTTTGCAGAACACGGAAGACCTATTGGCATGCGAAGTGTTTACCGACGAATGAGAAGTTTGGCTTGTTTTCATACCGGCCACACTGGGTCCTCCCTTTAACTCGAGAACACCGACCTAATCGCCTTGAGTGGTGCAGACAACGGTCACTCTGGGATCAGGAATGGAACAGTATTGTCTTTAGTGACGAGTCTCGATTTTGTTTAGGCATGCACGATGGTCGTGCCAGGTTAGAAGGCGACGTGGTGAAAGGAGGAATCCACAGTTTTTTGTTGAAAGACATGTTCATCACACTGTTGGAGTTATGGTTTGGGGTGCTATAGCTTATGGTTCCAGGTCACCTTTAATCTTCATCAGAGGTAACATGAACGCGCAGCGTTATATCCACGAAGTTCTAGAACCCCATCTTTTACCCTATCTTGACACCCTGGCAGATCCAACTTTCCAACAAGATAATGCCCGACCACATGTTGCAAGAGTCACAATAGACTTCTTTCAACATAATGATGTCACATTGTTACCATGGCCACCAAGATCTCCCGACTTATCCCCAATTGAGCACGTGTGGGAATGATGGGTAGGAGATTGCTCAATTTGCAACGTGCTCCTCAGACTTTAGAAGCACTTCGAGAGGAGTTGGTGGTTGCCTGGAATGAGATACGACAGGAGGACATTGACCACCTGATCAGAACATGCCTAGGCGCGTTGGAGAATGCGTAGCACATCAGGGTGCATCCACACATTATTAAATGTCAAAGGGCTTTAAAGCAGTGCAATCATTTTGAAATTTTTATCATTTACTTATTATGCTTCATTAAGTACTTATACAAAATTTTATTAAAATAAACCATTTGAACTGGATGTTCGGATTTACATGTCACTTAGTATAAATCTTAAACAAAAATTACAGGAAATTGTCAGGAAAGTTGATGGTCAGATTCCGTACGTTGAAATTTGAGAAAGTCAATGAACACATTGCACCTCAAAATTGTTTTTTGGAGTACTCAGGATCAATAGTGTTGGTGACGATAACTTCCTATGTTTTCGGTTAAAATGTTGTGTGTAAATGTGTAAAACCAGTTTAACCGATTAGCCATAGCGTTTTTGCGATTCTCTTTGTTTATATAATTTTAATTAGCAAACTTTTAAGCGAATCACATTTTTGGCCACCAAAACCTGGCCTTGGAATCTCTTCTAGACAACCGAGTGCCGGACACGGCTTTCCGCATCATTTAGTGTGGGAAAAGTACGGAACCATGATCACCATCAGGATCATCATAAATTCGATTTATCGGCTATACAGGGTTAGTCCGGAAAGTAATAGGACTGAGTCGATTTAAAAAAAAATTTTGAGCCAATCGTTACAATTCTTTAAAAACTTTCAATAAATAGGCTCCTTCTGCGTCGATGCAGCGCTGCCAGCACGATCTCCAAGCATTGAAGCCGTCACGGAAGGCATTCCACGTAAAACTTGGCGTTGACGGTTTGCCCAGGAGGAACAAATTCATGGTGGACGATGCCTTTGATGTCAAAAAGACAATGAGCATCGTTTTCACTTTGGATTCGCTCATTCTTCCCTTTTTGGACGAGGAGGACGCTGTCGTGTGCCACTCGGAAGATTGCCTCTTTATCTCGGGATCATGCTCGTCACCTGTGATTACGTTATTCAAAAACTGGGGGTTACTTTCATACATGTTCAAATTTTCCAGCCGCTCATTCGTTAGCTAGGAACGCCCTCTACCGAATCCAGTCGGTGCGCGCGTCCTATTGCTTTCCGGACAAACCTTGTAGTTATGCAGAACATACCTATAAGAGGTATGATATTCAAACAGTAACGTTTTTTACTCTGCTCTGTGTCCGTTCAAAATCAGGTATGCAGGGTCTTATAGACTGGTGTAAGGAAAAACATGGATCCGATAAATGTCTGTTAAAATGATAGAAATTATAAATGAATAATTATTGAATTATTCGAAAATGTATCATTACAAAATATATTCTAGTTGCACCACGCTGCCTCATGTGCACTCACCACGGTACCACCGCGCGAGAGCGGGAGATAAATCTATATACTTTTTTTTTTTTATCGAAACAGCCGCGCAGGCAGAAGCCTAAATGCCGGAACACCGCGGCTGCTATGATGATCCCAAAGAAATTTTGTTAATACGATTTTTGAACTGCCTAAGGTTAGTAGAACTGGGAAAAGCTTCCTCCCGTAGATTGTTCCACAATCTAGACACCCTCGGGACAAAGGAGCGGTCGTATCGGCCAGTTCTGGATGTACGAAGTTTGACACGGTTAGGATGGGACGCCGAAGTCAGGCGGGTCTGTCTGGCAGGCACATCGCGCGGCGGCATCATGGAAGAGAGCTCTGAGGAGCAAAGCCCGTTGGTGTAGCGATAGAAAAGAGCTAGATCGCCGACGGCCCGCCGGTGCGAAAGAGTCCCGAGACTGTCTGTTAGAGAAGAGTCATCGATCAGTCGGACCGCCCTCCTCTGGACAGCATCGAGCATGGACAATGTAGTCGGGGCGGCAGCACCCCAAATGTGTGAGCAATAGAGGCTAGGCCTTATCTGGGCCTTGTATAGAGTGAGAAGGTCATGCGGAGAAAAGTACTTCTTAGCCCTAAACAAATAGCCTAGCTTTTTCCCAGCAGCTGCAGCTATT